CACACATTCTGAGCACAAGTTCAAGGCGACAAGGCCAGTTCACATGCAGGATTATAAATCAAAAAGACCAAGCAAGACAGCGATCGCAGCCTAACAAAGGTAAACATGCACGCGCAGGTATATATAAATCACAGTACAAGCAAAGTCAAGAGGTAAGCAAGTGAGGCCAGGTAGGCACAAGACCTAGCACAGTACAGAAACGCTGATGATCACAAGGCTGAAGTGCCTTGGTCAAGATATCAGCAGTGTTGGCCCGAGAGGCCACGTAAGCAAGACGAAGCTGACCACGCTGCTACAACTCTCGAGCAAGGAAGTAGCGCAGAGCAATGTGCTTCGTTCTGTGCTCCAGTCTGTGCTCCTAACACAAGGCCAGCATGGCCTTGTTGTTGAGGTACAAAACTGGAGGAGAACGAGGCACCTCTCCCAAGTCGGTCAGCAGGTAGGTGAGCCAGCGTAACTCCTGTGCAGCCATGGCCCCAGTGTAGATCTCAGCCTCACAACTGGAGCTGAGAACAGAAGACGAGCGGGTAGACCGCCATGAAACAGAGCCGGAACCAAGGCTGAAGGTGTAACCCTGTGACGACCGCTGCGTAGCCAAGTCGCCAACCCAAGAAGCGTCTGCGTGACCATTGAGGACAACTCGAGCCCGTCCTCCAAGCATGAGCCCCATGCCCGACGAACTGCAGAGGTAGCGCAACACCCTCTTCGCTGCAGCCATGTGCTCGGGTCGGTGTCCCCGAGGAGCAACATAGCGTGCCAAGATGCTAAGAGGGTATGCCAGGTCAGGTCGAGTGCAGGTGATCAAGTACATGAGGCAGCCAACAAGCTCTGGGTACGGGCCACTCGGCTCTACGGACTCATCCGAAGGCAGAGCTGAGAGCGAGTGGCGAGTAGGCAGAGGAGTGGCCTGAGGCGAGGAGTACGTGAAGCCGAAGCGCTGAAGGACCTGCTGCACCATGTGTGATTGAGTCAGGGTAATGGTGCGCCGTGCTCTGTCCCGGGTGATCTGCAAGCCAAGATAGCTGCGCACCTCACCCAGGTCTGTGCACGTGTGTCTCTTCTGTAGCTCCGACTTCACGTGGGCGAGTCCAGCAGTGTCAGCAGTAGCAAAGACCAAGTCGTCGACGTACACGAGGATGTAGAACGGTGGCTGAGTAGTGTCGGTGCGGAGAAACAGCGACGGGTCAGCAGTGGAAGGAGCAAACCCAAGAGCCGCAAGCGTAGTCCTCGCTGTGTCGTGCCACTCATGGGGCGCCTGGCGGAGACCGTAGACTGGCCGCCGGAGGCTCCACTGGGTACCAGGAGGGAATGACCCAGTGAAGCCAGGTGGGCGGCGTAGCCAGATCTCCTCGTGCAGGGTGCCCTGCAGGAAGGCTGTGCTGAAGTCAAGAGAGCGAAGCTCGTAGTCACGCTGAGCAACGATGTGCACCAGAACTTGAAGAGTGGTCATCTTCGGGGTCGGGGAGAAGGTCTGGAAGAAGTCAACTCCCTGTCGCTGACTGAAGCCTTTAGCAATGTAACGCGCCTTGACGACAGGCGGAGAGCCCAACGGCCGCTTCACCCTGAAAATCCACATGACCCTAATGATGTTTTCCCTAGGAGGGGGAACCTCGTTGACGTTAGTGCCTGTGGACTTCCAGGATGCCATCTCTACGTCCATGGCTGACTGCCACTGAGAAGAGTAGAGACCCTCTATCGCCTCTGCGTAAGAGCGCGGGGTCGGGATGTCTGGTGCATCCGGGTCTCCCTCAGGTGCAATCAGCATGGACACGAGATGAGTTACAGTGGCTGCAAAGCACTCAAAGTCCTCCTGCGTGTCCTCAAGGACGTCTATGCCAAGAGTACACTCACCTCCGACGGACGGAGGACAGACAGACTTAGACTCAGCAACAAGACTAGCGGCGTAGTCGAGAAAACAGTGGGCAGCAAAGTCGACAAGCTCAGCAACTAAGGCAGACGCAGCATTGGACTCAAAGGAAGGGTCAGTGACAGCAATGGCCAGTAGACGCGTGACAGTAGGACTAGCAGCACGAAGGGAGTCAGACTCTGGGTCACAAAGGGCAGGAAGAGAGGACGCACGAGGAGGTGGCAGAGGGACACGCTGCAGAGCAGTGGAAGGGCGCAGAGCCATCCGCTGCATGCCAGGGATAGGAGGAGGACGCTGACGCGAACCACGACGACTAGTGCTAGCAGCACGAACAGGCGAGGCAGGACGAGACGCAGGCTTATGACGCTCAGCAAGACCTCCGGTTGGACCAGTGTAAGGAGAAGGAGCAGGCAGTGGGGAGGCAGGCTGTAACTGAGACTGCGACTGGACAGGCGGTGGACACTCTAAGGAAGGAGCAGGACCAGTAGAAGGCGGGAGACCAAGAACCTGCTGAAGGAGCGGAACGTAGTGCGGCCGTGGCTACGCAGCGCCTCCAGAACCAGCAGGGACAGAACCAGCACCCCCAGTGGGAGCTCCAACTCCAGCAGTACCACCAGCTCCAGCAGCACCTCTAGCAGCACCAGAAGCGCCAAATCCAGCACCCACAGGAGCACCGGCTCCAGCAGCACTGCCAGCTCCAGCACCTCCAACAACTCCAGCTCCAGGAGGACCACCAGAAGCCCCAGCAGTGCCAGCAGCTCCAGCTCCAGTACCTCCAGCAGCACCTGCCCCAGCAGCACCGCCACCTCCAGCACCTCCAGCAGCTCCAGCTCCAGCAGCACCACCAGGCCCAGCAGCTCCAGTACCTCCAGTACGAGCACCTCCGGGACCCGTGGCTCCAGAACCCCCAGTAGCTCCAGCAGCAGCAGGACCTCCAGCAGCAGCAGGGCCTCCAGCGCCCGAAGAACCACCAGCTCCAGCAGCACGGCTCTAGAGTGAGCAAACCACTCGCGCAGCTGCTGTGGAGAGAGTGACTCCCGCCGGGACGAAGCACCCGAAGGACCTCCAGGCTCAGCACCGCCAGATTCCACACGAGCAGGCCGAGCACCCTCAGGCTCCGTACCCCAGCAACCCCAGGCTCAGCACCCCCAGACTCATCACCCCCAGGCTCAGCACCCCCAGACTCAGCACCCCCAGGCTCCGCACGCTCACTCTCAGCACCCCCAGACCCGGCACCCGCAGGCTCAGCACCCTAGCAGCATCAGAGTCAACAGCTACCTTGACAGGCTCGACTGCGTCTACCTGGGACACAACTGAGGGGGCAGGACCCTGAGGGGGGTGGGGGTCTACCGGGGGAGGACCTGGCACGAGGAAGAGCGGCGGGGGGGGGGGGGGGGGGGGCAGTGCGGTAGGGGAAGAGACGGTAGTAAGGAATTGACTCGTCAAACGTGACGTCCTGAGAGGACAGAACACGGTGCGAGGTGGGGTGGTAAAACTGCCAACCAGGCGCATCAGGGGGGGAAGCCAAGGAAGACACAGGGAACAGCACGGGAGGACAGCTTGTCCGCAGACAAGTCGCGGACGAAAGCTCGAGATCCCCAGACACGGAACGCAGACGCATCGCCAACCTTCCCCGTCCACCGCAGAGTAGGTGTGGTCTCCGGCATGGAGACCCGAGGGTGGAGGTTGAGCTGATGCGCCGCGTAATGAACCGCGAACGGCCACCGAAAATGGGGAGCAGCCGCATGGATCATGGACGTACGAGCGAGATCCATGACCATGCCAATGCGGCGCTCAGCAATCCCATTTTGCTGCAGCGAGGCCGGAAGCGTGAACCTCTGGCGGATGCCCTGCGCACGACAGAAGGCTTGCAGAAGGTCGGAGGAAAACTCTCCACCTCTGTCAGAGTGCAGACGCAGAACACGAAGGGCCAGAGCCGAAACTCTCGCTGAGCTAACGACGGACAGCGCGGATCCAGTCGATCAGCACCTCAGTGACCTCACCCTTGCAGCGCACGGGGAAGACTGTGGTGTAACGCGAGTAGTCGTCAACGACCAGCAGAAAGTAGCGTTTGTGACCTTGGCCACGGACGCGGGCTGGGTCCCACACGTCCATGTGAAGCGTCTGCAGGACAACCTCCGTCCGAGGGAACTCAGAGGAGTGAGGAACGGCGCGCTGCCGCCCCTTGACGCAAGGAACGCAGGTACGGGCAGGCCCCGGGGGAAGGGGAGGGAGAGACCGAGGATGACCAGTGACAAGGACACGGGAGGCCATGCCTCGGAGACGAGGCAGGGAGGGTTGACCAAGGCGGTGGTGCTAGAGGAGAGTCTGGTGAGACAGGAGGCGACACGAGCAGGGGGCAGACTCACGACCTGACCGGGACGCTGCAGCTTGCACCTGACTCGACGCAGCTACCTGACCAGACTCAGCAACCGGAGGAGACACGGTAGTCAGGGTGTACAGGCTCGACCCAGGCTGACGGGTGAACTGTCAGAGGTCCACCGGTGATCCCCGATTGATCCTAGGGAAGGGTTACAGGCACGTTGGCCTGGGGGGTTATGGGCGCATTGACCCGCTACTTAACAAGCCCTTTTATCCCAATGGTCTAGTGGTTGGGATTCTGACATGGTATCGAGCTACTAAGATCCTACACCTAAGTCAATGGGCCCACCACCGTCTGTCGTTATGGCGCGCCCGTCGATCGGGCTGTTGTGCAACCCGTTACGCGCATCGCTGGCCCCACCCGTCGCTCGCCCGTCGTCCCACCGGCTCGCTGTCCCGCTGCTGCTGCGCTAGCGACGACGACCTGCGCGAGGGCGCTCGTCGCGCCCCATCGTTACAGCCCCAATTCACCCGTGGACCCGCCAGCAAGAGAGCCAGCGGATCCGCGGACCCGTCAGCAAGCGAGCCAGCGGACCCGCCGACGGACCCGTCAGCACGCGCACCAGCAAGCCCGCCGACGGACCCGCCGACGAACCCGCCGTCGGATCTGCCAGCGAGCTCGCCATCGGACCCGCGAGCCCACCAGCAAGCGAGCCAGCCGACCCGCCAACGCGTGCGTCAGCAAACCCGTCGACGGACCCGCCGCCGGTTCCGCCAGCGCACGAGTCAGCGCGCCGACGAACCCGCCAGCATGCCCGTCGCCGACGCGCTACCCGCAACTGCATCCCGCTGCCTGCGCGATATCCGCTACTGCAGCTCGTCGCACTGCCACCCGTCGCCAGATCCCCGCCACTCGTACGCTCTCCGCTGCCCGTCGCCAGGTCCCCGCCCGCCCTCCCGTCGACTTCGCAACTGCTGTGAAGGGAGTGGCGGGAGAAGCTGCTGCTACGCCCTTGCACGCGCCAGATCGTCCGCGACCCGCACCCTGCACCCCGCCCGTCGCCCGTACTCCACCCGCACCCCGCACCCCGCCCGCCGCCCGTACGCCATCCGCACCACGCACGACGTCCGTGCCCCCGTCCGCGAGACCCGTCCGCACCCCGTACCTGCACCCAGACCGCCGTTCTGCCCTAGATCCCGCCCCCCCCCCCCCCCCACGGACAACTGCCGCCCCACCCCCATCTCCGACTCCGTTTCCAGCGGGAAGGGGAGGAGGTGTGGCCCGAAGGGGAAGGCTGGGGGAGGGGGAGTGGCGGGGTTGGCGGCTCATGTAAGGGGGAGGTTGAGGGGGTGGGTGATCCATCTGCAGCTACTGCCGCCACACCTCCCCCCCTCTCTCTCCGCCACTGTTGGATTAGAGGGTGTGGGTGGGTGAGTCCAGCTGCAGCACCAGCCGCCCCCTCCTCCTCTTTCTCAATCCTGCATCTGCTGCTGTTGGGGGGGAGGTTGAGGGGGTGGGTGATTCAGCTGCAGCACCTACCGCCACTACACCTCCACCTCTCTTTCTCCGTCAATGCTGCTGTGGGGGGAAAGGTTCAGGGGGTGTGGGTGGTGAGAGTTCATCAGCCGCCTCCTCCTCTCATCCCCTGCCCCGTACCTCCCGTATTGCCCGAGTTCCCCGTGCTTGCCCCGTGCCCCACCCGTTTCACCCGTGCTGTCCGTACCCGGTTGTGCCCCACCCGTTTTACCTGTGCGTCCCGTGCTTCCCGTGCTGCCCCCGTGCTCCTGTGCTGCCCCCGTGCTCCCGTGCTGCCCCCCGTGTTCCCGTGCTGCTCCCGTGCTGTCCCCGGGTTCCCGTGCTGTCCCCGTGTTCCCGTGCTGTCCCCGTGTTCCCGTGCTGTCCCCGTGTTCCCGTGCTGCTCCCGTGCTGTCCCCGTGTTCCCGTGCTGTCCCCGTGTTCCCGTGCTGCCCCCGTGTTTCCATGCTGCCCCCGTGCTGCCCCGTTCTGCATGTGTCGTGCCCGTTCCCGTGCCGTGTTGCCCCGTTCAGCCCTTGTCCTGCCCCGTTCTGTCTGTGCTGCCCCGTTGTCCCCGTATTGCCCCGTTCAGCCCATGTCCTGCCCCCCTCTGCCCGTGTTGCCCCGTTCTGCCCGTGTTGCCCCGTTCAGCCCGTGTCCTGCCCCGTTCAGCCCGTGTCCTGCCCCGCTCTGCCCGTGTTGCCCCGTTCAGCCCGTGTCCTGCCCCGTTCTGCCCGTGCTGCCCCGTTCTGCTCGTTTGTGCCCTACCCTTGCTGTCCGTACCCATTCGTGCCCCACCCGTGCTGTCAGTTCTCGCTCGTGCCCCACCCGGTCTGTGCTGCCCGGTCTCGTACTGCCCGTCACCCCCGTGCGGCCCGTCCCGTACAGCACCTAGTTGCTATCCGAACCCGCTACCCGTACCCGTGCTCCTCGCACACCGTGCACCAGTTGCAGGGCGTTCAACTGCAGCCGGGCACCTCTTCCACCGCGGTGGTCCAGATGCTGCTTGGTGGTTGCTGCTTGTCAGCTTTAGAGGGGGCCCCTTGCTGGTGTTCCCACGCCCTGTAATGGGGTTTTACAGGTGTACCCCTTCAAGGAGGGCTCTGCACATGGTTATGCACTTCAGGCAGATAGGGGGTGTGTCACAATAGATTAATATCTATTTAGTATGATCTGCCTGTAGTGTAGCTGCTGTGTAATTCCCTTGTATGGTGGTGCACCTCTTTCATCTTTGTTAGGTTGCTATATGTACTCGTGTGCTATAGTGAACCAACAACCATTCTCTCTCTCGCTTGGCACAAACTCTCTCGACTCCCGCTTGGCCTAGGCTACTAAGCCTAGGCCTACTAGCTACACCCGTCGCCTAGATTACGTTCGTTTGTTGACATGGTATCAGAGCGAAGGTCTCGGGTTCGAATCCCGGTGTATGCACTTCGCGCATCCCAGTGCGGGGGGGTGTGAGAGGTCCACTGGTGATCCCCGATTGATCCTAGGGAAAAGTTACAGGCACGCTGGCCTGGAGGGTTATGGGCGCACTGACCCGCTACTTAACAAGCCCTTTTATCCCAATGGTCTAGTGGTTGGGATTCTGACATGAACGTGGCCAGGTGCCGGCCCATCCGAGTACATGAACATTGGGTCACCCGCTGACCTCCAGGAGTGATCTGGTCAACCCACGCATCCTGAAGGTGAGCTCCACTCACCAAGTTCGTGGAGAACGATGGGAGGTGGAGGCCAGACAGAGAGCCAGACGGGACCGCCAGACACGGCAGAATCATGGAGGAGTGTGCAAGGACCGGACCCCCAGAGGTGTCAGCAAGAGAGATTGCCACTGGCCGACTGAGTGGCGAGAGTGTGGTGCAGTCGCGAAAGAAGGAGTGCGAAGCACCCGAATCAAGGGTGAAAGTGTGCAAGGCCGCAGCAGGCGCAGTACCAGAGAGAGCAGACTCACAAGCACCTGGAGCAGTGGACTCACTAGCGCCTAGAGCAGCAGCCTCACCGGCACCTGGAGCAGGAGACGCACCAGCACCTAGAGCAGGAGCCTCACCAGCACCGAGAGCACGAGACTCTATACCTGGGTCAGGCCGCACACACAGGTAACAGGCACCCTCGGCACTAGTAGGCAATGCATACATGGCAGTGAGGATAGCATCATAGTCAAGAGCAAAGATATCTACCCTCTGCCTAAGCAGCTCCAGCAAGGAGGGGAGCTCAACGTCGTCGCCAAACTCTTTACGCCAGGCGTCGCTTAGACTAGCGAAGCAGCGGGACTCTGTGTGACCAACCGTCCCGCAAGGCTGACCAGCCCGAGCACCAGTGTGAATGACGTACGGGTAGCGAACAGTACTCCATGACCCTCTACTCTGAGCGTACCACTCACGAAGCTGCTGGGGCGAAAGGACCGCGCACGGACGCTGCTGCATCTGCACCTGGTCACTACAAGAAGCTCCCGAAGGACCCGCCCCAGGGCGACTCCCACCATGGCCACCCTTACAACCCCAACTAGTGTACCACTCACGAAGCTGCTGGGGCATGAGGGACTCACGCGAACGTCGCTGGAGCTGCATCTGGCCACCGCCAAGAGCAGCAGTAGCAGTAGTAGCCGCAGTAGCAGCAGTGACAGTAGTAGCAGCAGTGACAGTTGTAGCAGCAGTAGCAGCGCGGCCACCCCTACAACCCCAACTTGCGTACCACTCACGAAGCTGCTTGGGCATAAGGGACTCACGCGGACGTCACTGGAGCTGCATCTGACCACCGCCAGGAACAGCAGTAGCAGTAGTAGCAGCAGCAGCAGCAGCGGTAGCAGCAGCAGTAGCAGCAGAAACAGCAGTAACAGCACGGGCAGGGCAGTGTGGCTCAGTAGAGCAGGGCTGCACAGCCCGGCAGCATGACAAGGCTCGGCTCGGCGGCTCGGCGCCGCAAGGGGGCTCGGCTCAGCTGAGCGGCGCGGCTCGGCTGGCAGGCAGGTGCGGCAGGCAGGCAGGCAGGCTAGCGCGGCAGCGCGCTAGTAAGGCAGGCGCGCAGGAAGCGTGGGTAGGGCAAGTGCTCACCAGTGGCGGGAAGGGCAGTCGCTCGCCGGGCGAGCAGGGTAGGCGCACGACGGCGGCAACGGTGGGGCCGGGACAGCTGCAGGGCAGGGCCGCGACAGCGGCAGGGGGCTCCGCGAGAGCTGCTGCAGGGCGGGGCCGCGACTGCTGGAGGCGGCTCCGCGGCAGCTGCTGTCAGAATCCCAACCACTAGACCATTGGGATAAAAGGGCTTGTTTCAGTAGCGGGTCAGTGCGCCCATAACCCCCCAGACAAACGCGCCTGTAACCCCCCCTAGGATCAATCGGGGATCTCACAGTGTAGCTCTACTGACACCCCCCCACACTGGGAGGCCCAGGACTGAGCACAGTGGCAACGGCCAACATGTGCATACACCGGGATTCGAACCCGAGACCGCTCTGATACCATGTCAGAATCCCAACCACTAGACCATTGGGATAAAAGGGCTTGTTTTAGTAGCGGGTCAGTGCGCCCATAACCCCCCAGACAAACGCGCCTATAACCCCTCCTAGGATCAATCGGGGATCTCACAGTGTAGCTCTAGTGACAGCTTCAGCAGGGCGGGGCCGCGATTGTCAGGATCTAGGATCGAGCTCAGAAAAGAGAGTTGAATTGAATGATCACCTGGGTACAACACGAGGCTATATATAGGCTCGACACAAGGCCCCGTAACCAGGTGTTACGCGAAGGTTCCGCGGGTCGCGAAGCGTCCCGAATAGATCCTTTCCAAATTCGGTAGAAGGCAATTCGGTGGCAACCGAAAAGCCAGAATTCGGTGCACGCAACCTAGCTCGGTGCTATAACTATAATAAAATATAGGAAAGCACCTAGCCTAGGAAATCAAGCAATTCATGCATGCATATAATTATCCTATGCTAGAAATAGCATAACAAAGTAAGGGCAAGCAAGCATAGCTGGCATAAGCCGTCGTACTCTCACACGTCCCCCCGTCAAAGCTGGGTGGCGTGAGATACACCCTGCTTGACAAGATAGTCCTTGAGAGCACGGCGTGCATTGCCCATATCAGCCTCTGCAACCCAAGTGTCCTCAGTGGGGTCGTATCCCTTCCAGCGTATCAGGAACTCGAGGGTCTTGCCGCCGCGGCGCCGATGAGTGAGAACGCGCTCCACTTCGTACTCGGGTTCATCCTGTATGAGAACAGGTGGTGGTGGCGGTAGCTGCCGTCCCTGGAATTGTTGGTTGGGGTCCTTGTAGGGCTTCAGTAGCTGGACATGGAAAGCGTTGTGAAGCTTCCACGTATCTGGTAAGCGCAAGCGGAATGTAACTGGTGTCACCTGTGCCTCAACGAGAAAAGGACCACAGAAGCGAGGCCGGAGTTTGGATGGGAGGTGAGACAGGTTCAAGTTGCGCGTGTGAAGAAGCACCTGATCTCCGACTGCTACTGAGTGATCACGTCGCTGACGATCGGCATACTGTTTCTGGGAGGTCTGCATCGTGGTGAGTCGTCGCTGAGTCTTCTCCCATAGCTGCTGCATGGTGGTGACGAAGTCATGTGCGGCTTGGACGTGTGCCGGTGTAGTTGGCTGCTGTGGTGTGAGTGGTTCCCGTCCGTAACACAGGATGAAAGGAGTTTTCCCTGTGGCCGCATGTGATGCGTTGTTGTAAGCGAACTCTAGGGTCGGTAACTGTGTGTCCCAGTGGCTGACGTCGTCCTTGCAAGCTGTGCGCAGTAACTGTTCAACCACTTGATTGAGTCGCTCTGTCTGTCCGTCAGTCTGGGGGTGGTATGCTGAAGACATTGCAAGCTTTGTTCCCAACAGTCCCATGAGCTCATTCCAGAACTTACTGGTGAATTTTGGGTCTCTGCCTGAGATGAGTGTAGCGAGGATGCCGTGGATGGTGATGATGCGGTCGAAGAAGAGGCGAGCAGTTGCTTCAGCTGTAGCTGTGGCGTTGGTCGGTATGAAGTGACCCATTTTGTAGAACTTATCGATGACTACGAGGATGGAATCGTACCCCCGTGAGGTCGAAGGAAGTCTTGTGATAAAGTCGAGGCTAACGACTTGCCATGGCTGCTCCGGTACGGGTAGAGGCTGAAGTAACCCTGCTTTTTTCTTCTTGCTACTCTTCATCCACTGGCACGTGTCGCAAGAGGTGACGAACTGCTGGACGTCTGCTGCCATCCCGGGCCAGTAGTAATACTTCGCTATCCCTGCTAACGTCTTGTTGCTCCCGAAATGTCTCGCGTAAGGTACGTCGTGAAACTCCTCCAATAGGATCTGCCGTAGCGGGGCGTAATTCGGTACCCAAATCTTTCCTGAACCCTTCCTTACAGCTAAGTATTTCTCCCACTGTAACAGCTTCTTGGTCTGTGCTGTAGCAATCTCTGCGTCCACGGAGTACCCATGTTGGAATAGACCCTTGAGCAGAGGGTTCATCCCGTCGAGCTGGATGCCTGCTACATGTCCCGGGCGGCTCAACGCATCTGCCTTGTTGTGTAGCCCGGGCTTGTAGACGATGTCGTAGTGGAAGTGAGTTTCCAGGAAGTCCACCCACCGCACCTGTCGTTGTGAGAGCGTCGGCTGCGACTTCAGGTATTTGAGACTGCAGTGGTCAGTATAGACTGTAGTCTTGGCTCCCTCTAGGCAACACCTCCACGCCTTGAAGGCTATGAATATCGCTAAGGCTTCCTTCTCATAGATGGGGTAGTTCAGTTCTGCTCCGTGTAGCTTCTTACTGAGGTAGGCGATGGGCTGCAAACCGCGTCCGTGATCCTGCATCAGTACTGCTCCGACTTCTTGGTCACTAGCGTCTGCTTCCACCACGTAGTCCTTGTCTGGATCCGGCAAGATGAGTACTGGCGCTGTAGTCAGTGCTGTCTGTAGCTGCTCCATGGCTTGCTGATGAGGGGTATCCCATTTGTAGGGCGTATCCTTTTTCAGTAGGTCGGTCAGTGGCGCTGCTATCTTAGTGTACTGCGGCACGAACCTGTTGTAGTAGTTGGCGAAGCCTAGGAACTGCTGCAACTCCTTCACGTTCTCTGGTACTTTCCATTTCTTTACGGCTTCGATCTTCCGCGGGTCCACGTGTACGCCCTTGGCACTCACCATGTGCCCGAGAAAGTGCACCTTCTTCAGGGCGAAGTCGCTCTTCGACAGCTTCACGTAGAACTTGTTTTTCCGAAGGATCTCGAACACCTTCCGCAGATGCTCCACGTGCTCCTTCATGTTCTTGGAGTAGATGAGAATGTCGTCCAGGTACACCACCACGCACTCGTCCAGCAGGGGTCGTAAGATGTGATTCATCTCCGCCTGAAACGTTGCTGGTGCGTTGCAGAGTCCGAACGGCATCACCAAGTATTTGTAGGAGCCGTATCAGGTACGGAATGCCGTCTTGTGGATCGAGTTGTCCGCCATCTTGATCTGCCAATAACCCGACCGTAGGTCCAACTTCAAAAAGGCTGTTGCTCCACGCAGTTGGTCCAGTAGGTCGCCAAACTCGGTACGCTAGGCATCGCTCAGACGGGCGAAGCAGCGGGAATGTATGTGACTAGGTGTCCCACAAGGCTGACCAGTGCGAGCACCAGTGCGAATCACGTAAGAGCATCGAATAGAACTTAGAGACCCTCTACTCTGAGCGTACCACTCACAAAGCTGCTGGGGCATGAGAGACGCGCGTGGGCGTCGCTGGAGCTGCATCTGGCCGCCGCCAGTAGTAGTAGCAGCAGTAGTGGTAGCAGTAGCAGCGCCGCCACCCCTACAACCCCAACCAGCGTACCACTCACGCAGCTGCTGGGGCGTGAGGGACTCACGCGGACGTCGCTGGGGCTGCATCTGGCTCCGCCAGTAGAAGTAGGAGCAGGAGTAGCAGCAGTAAGGCAGGCAGTCAGGCAGGCCGAAAGGCAGGCAGGCAGGCAAGCAGGCGTCGGGCAGCGCGCTAGCAGGGCAGGGGCTCACCAATGGTGGGAAGAGCAGGCTCGACGACTCGGCGACTCGGCGACTCGGCGGTGCGGGCGGCTCGGGCGGCTCGGCGGCACGGCGGCTCGGCAGCAACTACGACTCGGCGGCTCGGGCGACTCGGGCGGCTCGGCGGCAAATGCGGCTCAGCGACTCGGCGGCTCGGGCGGCTCGGCGGTACGGCGCTCGGCATCAACTGCAGCTCGGCGGCTCGGCGACCCCGCGGCTCGGGCGGCTCAGGTGGCTCGGGCGGCTCGGTAGCAGCTCGGCGGTGCCCGCGGCTCGGTGGTGACGGCGGGGCCACTTGGGGACGGCGGCGGGGCTGGGTGGAGCAGCGACAGGGCCAGCAGAGGTGGCGCCGGGGCCGCAGGGTAGGTGACGGGGCCAGCAGAGGCGGCGCCGGGGCCGGGAAGGGCGGCGCCGTGGCCGCAGAGGTAGGCGACGGGGCCAGTAGAGGCGGCACCGGGGCCGGTAAGGGCGGCGTCGGGGCCAGCAGAGGTGGCGCCGGGGCCGGGAAGGGCAGCGCCGGGGCCGCAGGGATAGGCGACGGGGCCAGCAGAGGCGGGGCCGGGTCGGGAAGGGCGGCGTCGGGGTCGCCGGGGTAGGCGACGGGGCCAGCCGAGGTGGCGCCGGGGCCAGGAAGGGCGGAGCCGGGGCCGGGATGGGCGGCGCCGGGGCCGCAGGGGTAGGTGACGGGGCCGCTAGGGCGGCGGATCGGGGCCGCGAGGGCGGCGCGACGCGGCCGCTAGGGTGGCGCGACGAGATGGGGCCGCAACGGGGCAGCGAGGGGTCGCGCGCGGCTTCATTGGGCGCCGCGGCGGGGTAGCGGGGAGTGGCGCGCCTAGAAGGAACGGGGCCGCGCGCCTCGGGGCGCGCGCTTGAGAGAAATAGGTCGCACGCCACGGGGCGTGCGACGGATCGAGTAGCAGCGGAAGCAGTAGTAGGGCCCACAGGCCAGGAGCATATGTGCTCTTAAACCATGTGACAATGAACGAGAATGAATGCACTATGAAAGAGTTGGGTACAAGCTAAGTTGGATCTTACGGTTTCGATTTGTTACGTTTTCGCTTATTTACGACACTTTTTACGTTCACGAACGGTTGCCTGGATTCGGCTTTACGTTTACGGTCACCTGAAAACTTTTTTGGGCTGCCCGAGGGGAAAAAAAAAGACCAGAACACTAGGGAGACCCATTTTGTAGGCATCATGTCAAGTTTGAAGAAAATGTAATACCCTAGACATAAAATCCAGTTAGAGCCAGCACACCATCTCTACTCCTCCTCCTCCTCCTCCTCCTCCTCCTCCTCCTCCTCCTCCTCCTCCTCCTCCTCCTCCTCCTCCTCCTCCTCCTCCTCCTCCTCCTCCCCTTCCCCCCCCTCCTCTTCCTCCTCCCCTTCCCCCCCCCTCCTCCTCCTCTTCCTCCTCCTCGGCCTCCTCCTCCTCCTCCTCCTCCTCCTCCCCCTCCCCCTCCTCCTCCTCCCCCTCCCCCTCCTCCTCCTCCCCCCCTTCCCCCTCCTCCTCCCCCTCCCCGTCCTCCTCCCCTTCCTCCCCCTTCTCCTGCTCTTCGAAGTATGCCTCGTCGGGGATGTCGTCATCATCAAGCGGTTCATATGAATCCCGCTGCTGCTCCTCAATTTGAATTGACTCATGGCCAGGCTTGAAGAGTCGCTTCTCATGCTCTTCATGCAACTTACACACAGCATTGTAGTTGTGTGTCACATAGACAAGGTCTTCAAGTCGCTTGGGCCCAAGACGGTTCCGCCGGGTGGTGTGGATCGACTCCCAAGTCCCCCAGTTGGTTTCACAAGCCGAGGCGGAAACACATTGCTTGAGAATCTTGCAAGCCAGTTTAGCAAGGTTGGGGCACTGATCCCCATTGAACTCCCACCAATGTGTTGGGTCCAACTTGCCCAACTTCATGAGCTCAAGTTCTGCCAGTGCCTTAGGCTCACCGATGAAGCCTTCTCCTTTCACATAAATCAGCACCTCCTTCTCAACAATGGTCGCCATCGGAAACTTTGTCCCATCACTATCCACCACATATTCCCCCTTGTAGTAGTCCCGAATGAATTGCTTGAAGATTCTAGAGCACTCGCTATCGCCGCCAAAGATCTTCTCATATTGATTTGGCGGATACAAAATGTGACCCGCCACGTGTAAGGCGCAGTTGATGTTCTTGTTCCAACGCCGACGCACGGCTCCCAAAATCCACTTGCTCTCCTTAGACCGTAGGCAGCTGCATGCCCCCTTCATCGACTCCTCTAAATCCAGCATCATATCATAAATCTTCCCCATAATCTCCTGGTTCCCGTCGACTGCTCTCAAGAGAGTGTAAATCGGCTTCACGACACACACGACCCTCTCCACGCCCTCCCAAAAACTGTCATCCCTTATCACGGTGCGTGCCTTAACCATCCGCTTCTTCCCATGCGCATTTGCTGTCCATCCTGGGGTCAGCACCATTTGGTCAAGAACACGACGCACATCTAGCAGACGCTGCAGCGCAATGTAATTGGTTCCGAATCGAGTGCCTGCGGGCTTGAGTAGCACAAGAGAATTCTGCTCACGAAAGTAACCCGTGATCCAATTTGAGTTCTTCAAAGTCGAAATCAGATCCTGCGCCTTGGTAATGAACTTGGCAGCCCATTTGTGGCCTCCAATGTCTTTCATCAAGTTGTTGAGAGAGTGAGCCGCGCATCGTATGTACTGCACCTTTGGAAACTCAGCCTTGACAATGTTGGCCGCACTGATATTGTTGCTTGCGCCGTCCATTAGCATCCCCACCACATTCTCAGCTCCAACCATTCCGATGGCTCTCTTGAGGTGCGTCGCAATGTATTCGCCGCTTTTCTTCTTTGTACCGCAATCAACGCCGAACAAGAAGACAGACCCCTTAGTGTTCACGGCGAGGAAATTCATCTGCGGGCGGTTTGAAGAATCTGTCCATCCGTCAGTTGCTATGCTCACGCCCATATCGCTCCACGAAGCTTTGATCGGTTTCAGTGCGTCATCCGTGCTATCCTTGCAATCTTGCAAGAGGCGGCCCATAATAAGCTTCCGACTAGGAGGCGGAAATCCAGGACCAACTGCAGCCACTTTCCTCAACATACTCTTGAAAGCGGAATGCTCGGCCACATTTGAAGGGATGCGGCACACGTGGAAAAACGTAGCAACCGCCAGCTGTCCGCTTGCGAGACTTGCAGCTGCGGGGCGACAATCGAACAACGTCTTCTGATTTGCTGCACGCTTGCTGCTATGTGTAACAGCGCCGCTACTACTAGGAACGGATCCACTTGTCTCCTTCATAAACACGTCCATCGTGCGCTTTGAGGCAATCCGCTTCGCTTCCTGCGCACTAGCCTTGGCGGATGCTGCTTTGCGCACTTCAGCAATCACCTCCTCTGGTGCCTTTTTGCATGCTTTGATGTCTCTGCTATTACCAAGGATATGCGCCTGCGCACGAGTAACGTTTAGAACCCACTTCTTCTTGCAAAACTTGCATGCCTTTTCCGTCGAATCTGATGGAGCCCCTACGGGTACTACAAAATGCTTCCAAACTGGGTGCTCATCACTAGCAGAATCCATGGCTTAAGAGTATGTTAGTCTAGAAAGCTAAACGCAAGCTACGGTAAGCTGTCGAAGTTGGGCTCTAGGCTTTGAATCTGAATTCTGGATTCAGATCTAGTTTCGACAAGGTGGGTGTGACGGGAATCTTCTGGCTTTGCTGAGTCGCTAGGGCCTGGGATTGGTTGGAATCGAATCCGAATTTGCAGTTACAAATTTACCCGATTTCACCTAAGGGGTTTCGCCAAACAGTCGACCAAATTTGTAGCTGACTGCAACCCTAAAATGTATTTCGCCAACCTTCGCATACGCGTCCTAGAAATCTCGCCGTCCGCACATTCGCCACTCCCCACCCCAACCCTACAAACAAATTTCGCCGAGCACAACTGCCTCACTCTCACACCCCCTCCCAAATCGATGTCCCGTCTCCTCCCATGCCCTCCTTAGTAGTTAACTAATCGATGTCAAGCGCAGCGCCTTCGTATCCTACCTAGCGACCTGGTCAATGTCTTGAATACGCTAATCCGCTAAGTTCCACACGGTCGCGAAAGGCGCTGCACGCATACCGATCGACATCGCTACCGCAGAAAGGCACGTATTAGTAGTAGGATCTTTTCGTAAACCATAATCTAGAAAAAAAAATAGTTCGCATCTTTTTTTTTTCACCTGCCCGCCTCAGAATTACGCGCAACTTGTCGTTCGTAATCGAAATCGTAAAATAGCGCGAAAGTTACGATTACGGGACCTTGAAAAACGTAAGAGCCCAACTTAGGGTACAAGTACTAACCCTAATTGGGTTGTACCCCATATAGGCTACCCCACTACAGCCTACACAAAAGCATAAGCTATAATGTTCTGACATCTTGTCCATATCCATTGGGTCGGCGGTCGTGGGTGGTGCCGATTGCTTCGTGCCAAATGATCGGTTTGGCACGTGGCGTCGTGTCTCGGGCTCACATCGCATTAGCGCATCGAATCTCTCTGCTGCACGCACCATGTCGCGGTAGTTGTTGTAGTTCGCGACAATCACCTATTGGCGGACTTCCATCTTTAGCCCCTCGGTATACGCTTGGATTTTTTCCCCTTCGATTAGGTCGGTAATTCGGTTGAAGAGGCTCTCCATCTGCTGCGTGTACTGTGTTACACTTCCGAACTGTTTATGCCGATGAATCTGCTGCCGCGCCATGTAGCTGGAGTTGATTGGTTCGAAACGCTGAATTAAAGCTTCCCGAAACTGCGTCCATGACCCCTCGCCTCGGATCTTATTGCTGTTGTAAATCCACTCGAGCGCTGGGCCTCGTAACAGTGTCACTGCGAGCCGAATCTGCATTGCATCGTGTGTCGGGGTCGTACAGCCAATGGCCTCGAAGTAAATTTCGAGAGTCGCAATGAATCGACGAACGTCAGTGTCTCTCGCATTCGGATTGAACGTCTCCGGTAGCCTCGGACGTGCCGCCTCAAGATTCACTGTAGCCGCTGCCGCTGCTGCTGGGTTAAGTGTCGGTCTCGCCGCTGCTGCTGCTGACGTTTGTCAAAAGTTAGACGTTGCTGCTGCATTCGCCGATGCGTTCGCTGCTGCTATGGCGGCTGCCGACTGGTTTGCGAGAAGCTCCTCTTTTCGCTAGAGTGCCGCTCGCGTCTGGTCCAGGCGGGTGTGTAACTCCGTAATTTTCCGTACGGAATTATCACTGTTTTCCTCCATTTGGCGATTTATGGGAAGATTTGCGACGAAAATAAATGAATTTTAGGCGCTGGTCATCTTACTGTGAGTCGAGTTGACTGCAGAAATAACGAGGGCTGATTCTGTAGGTCGCGTGATTCTCCCTTAGTCGAAATTCGCGTCTGATCTCGGCCGTTGAGAAGAAATTCGATCCGAGGCTCCAAATTCCAACTTGTTTGGGCGAAATTCTCGAGGCCGTTGAGATTCGAATCGATCCGACGGTCGAAATTCCAACTTTTTCGCCACTGGACCTGAGGAGTGTTCGAAAACTGGTTCGAGGGGGACGTTAGAAAATAGCGCGGAACTGGTTTACGTACCCGAAATCGGCGCTTTCCGTCATCGCCCCCACGGTTTTAAAAGCTAGGTTTAAGCGGTCAAAAAACTTCGCTTGCAAACAGGCTCTGATTACCAAGTGTGAGGATCTAGGATCGAGCTCAGAAAAGAGAGTTGAATTGAATGATCACCTGGGTACAACACGAGGCTATATATAGGCTCGACACAAGGCCCCGTAACCAGGTATTACGCGAAGGTTCCGCAGGTCGCGAAGCGTCCCGAACAGATCCTTTCCGAATTCGGTAGAAGGCAATTCGGTGGCAACCGAAAAGCCAGAATTCGGTGCACGCAACCTAGCTCGGTGCTATAACTATAATAAAATATAAGAAAGCACCTAGCCTAGGAAATCAAGCAATTCATGCATGCATATAATTATCCTATGCTAGAAATAGCATAACAAAGTAAGGGCAAGCAAGCATAGCTGACATAAGCCGTCGTACTCTCACAGCGACGGCGGCAGGGGGCTCCGCGGCCGCTGTTGCAGGGCGGGGCCGCGACTGCTGCAGACGGCTCCACGGCAGCTGCTGTAGGGCGGAGCCGCGACAGCGGCAAGGGGCTCCGCGGCAGCTGCTGCAGGGCGGGGCTCCGAGGTAGCTGCTGCAGGGGGCGCCGCGACGAGCAGGGGCGACGCCCCGGGGGTGCCGCGACGAGCAGGGATGGCGCCCAGGGGGCGCCGCGACGAGCAGGGATGGCGCCCGGGGGCGCCGCGGCGAGCAGGGGCGACGCCCCGGGGGCGCCGCGACGAGTAGGGAAGGCGCCCTGGGGGCGCCGCGACGAGCAAGGAAGGCGCCCAGGGGGCGCCGCGACGAGGAGGGGCGACGCCCCGGGGGCGCCGCGACGAGCAGGAACGGCGCCCAGGGGGCGCCGCGACGAGCAGGGGCGACGCCCTGGGGGCGTCGCGACGAGCAGGGACGGCGCCCAGGGGGCCCCGCGACGAGCAAGGGCGACGCCCCAGGGGTGTTGCGACGAGCAGGGACGACGCCCAGGGGGCGCCGCGACGAGCAGGGGCGACGCCCCGGGGGCGCCGCGACGAGTCGGGACAGCGCCCAGGGGGCGCCGCGACGAGCAGGGGGTGGACGCCGCGCGGGTCCCACAGGGCCAGCTCCCACGAGCTGCAGAGGCAGGCACGGCTGCAGGGGTAGCGCCCACGGGCTGCAGGGGCAGGCACGGCTGCAGAAGCAGTGCCCACGGGCTGCAGGGGCAGGCACGGCTGCAGAGGCAGCGCCCACGGGCTGCAGGGGCAGGCACGGCTGTAGGGGTAGGCACGGCTACTCGGGAGGGCGGCGCGCGGGCTGCAGAGGCAGCTCCCACGGGCTGAAGAGGCAGGCACGGCTGCAGGGGGAGGCACGGCTGCAGGGGCAGGCACGGCTGCAGGGGCAGCACGGTCGCAGGGGTAGCACGTGGGCTGTAAGGGCAGCGCGGATGCAGGGGCAGCTAAAAAAAAAAATCAGTTAGGGCAGGGCGGAACGTTCGATGGGCCCTAGGAACGATTCTGCTCTTATACAATGTCAGAATAAGAATGAGGAATGAGTTCATTGAGCAGCATGAGGAGTATAAGTAGGAAACCCTAACACTACTGTACCCCATAAGGAGTGCCCCACTACAGCCTACAATCTAGTTATGATACGAACGAGGGTACACTAAGCGTAGCCATCGCGGGCAAAGCAGTTGGGTGTGCTAGCAGCAGGGCAGCTCGCAGGTAGGGCAAAGTAGGGCCACGGCCTGTAGGGCGGCGCACAGGCAGATTAGGGCAGGGCGGCGCAGCGGCGAACGGCACGCGGGCAGGGCAGGGCGGCGCGGCAGCGAGTGGCGCGCGGGCAGGGCGACGCGGTGGCGGCGAGCGGCGCGCAGGCAGGGCTGTAGCGCGGCGGCGGGCGGCGTGCAAGCAGGGCAGCGCGGCGGCGAGCTGCGCGCAGGTAGAACAGGGCGCGCGGTGGCAAGCTGCGCGCGGGCAGGGCAGGGCGCGCGGCGACGAGCGGCGCCTGGCCGAGACAGGGCGTGCGGCGGCGAGCTGTGTGCGGGCAGGGCAGGGAATGCGGCGGCAAGCAGCGCGTGGGCAAGGCGGCGCAGTGGTGAGCGGCGCGCGGCGGTGAGCGGCGCGCGGGCAAGGCAGCGCGCGGCGGCGAGCTGCGCGCGAGCAGGGCAGGGCGTATGCGGGTACCGCGATGCAGGGCAGGGCAGGGCAGCGCGGCTCTAACCGGGCGGCGCGACGTGTGGGGTAGCGCGATTCGGTGGGCCCCCTCTAAAAAACGATCCTAGGGGAGGGCCTGCTCTGAAACCATGTTAGAAAGTACAGGCGAGAATGAATGAACTAGCAGCAGGATGGGTACAAGTACTAACCCTAAAGTTAGGTTGTACCCCATATGGGCTACCCCACTACAACCTACACAACATACAACATATAAGTTTGACAACCACTTCTGCATACGGCCTACCGACACGGCGATGCACCTTTTACGCGCTGCTAAAAAGCGCGAGTACACCTCAATCTCCATGTCTATGTACCGCGTTTCCGGGCCACGTCTTTGAAGTTGTTTGTGACACCCTAGTTATAGGCACCAAACTAGGTTGAGTGCACCGAATTCTAGGCTTTTAGTTGCCACTGAATTGCCTTCTACCGAATTCGAGAAGGACTAGTTCGGGATGCTTTGCGACCCGCGGAACCTTCTAGTAACACGCGTGTTACTGCCTTTGTGTCGAGCCTATATATAGCCTCGCCTTGTACCCAGGTGAACCATTCAATAGATTTCTCTTTCCTGAACCAGATGTTAGAATTTATATGTAACTGCCTATAGCTGTAGTTTAGTGTAGTTATTATAAACTGTTGGTGGTGCACCTTCTTTGCATGCTCTGTTTACTATATGTACCCTAGTGCTATAGTGAACACCACCTTTTCCCATTCTCGACTCTCACCTTGGCACAACCTCCTCGACTTCCCCTAGGCCTAGGCTACTAAGCCTAGGCCCTACCTAAAACCTAAGCTTACTCTTAGTAACTCAACATGGAATCCGAGACTGTTAAGTCCAGGCCTGTGGGCTCGCCTCACGCTTCCGCTGCTGTTTTTCCGGTCGCGCGCCTCGTGCGCGTGGCGATTTTCGTCCTGTCCCGCCCCCGGGTGGCGAGTGACACCTTTTCTGCCCGTCGCGCGCCCCGTGGCACGCGACGGTGCCCTGCCCGTCGTGCACCCCGTGGCACGCGACGGTGCCCTGCCCGTCGTGCGCCCCGTGGCACACGACGGTGCCCTAAACCTGCCCGTCGTGCGCCCCGTGGCACGCGACGGTGCCCTGCCCGTCATGCGCCCCGTGGCACGCGACGGTGCCCTGCCCGTCGTGCGCCCCGTGGCATGCGACGGTGCCCTAAACTGCCCGTCACGTGCCCCGTGGTGCGCGACGGTGCCCTGAGCCGCCGCGGAACCGCCCCTGGTGCCTGCGACGGTGTCCTGAGCCGCTGCGTACCCGCCCCTGGCACACTCGGCGGTGCCCCTGCCTCACCCGCGCCTGCATTCGCTGCAGCCGCCCCTGCACCACCCGGCGCCTGCCCTTGGAGCAGCCGCCCCCGCTCCTGCACTCGGTGCAGCCGCCTCTGCCTCACCCCGCGCCTGCACTCACTGCAGCCGCCCCTGACCTACCCGCGCCGACCCTCTGTAGCCGCTCTGCGGCTTTCTCCCCGCCCACCCCCTACTCTTTCGTCTCCCTGCAGCCGTGGGGGGGAGGGTATGGGGGTGGTGGGTGTTGGGGTGATGGGTGGTGTGCTTCCCTTCCCCTCCTCCTCCTTTCGTTCCCACTGCTGCAGCTGCCGCTTGGGGGGAGGGTGTGAGGGTGTGGGGGAGCCGGGGGAGTGGCACTGGGGTGGCGGGTGTGAGACCAACCAGCAGCCGTCCCTCCACCTCTCCTCTCTTCCCCCCTCTGCTGCTCCTACAGCAGTGTGGGGGGGAGGGGGAGGGGGAGGGGGAGGGTGAGGAGATGGAGGGGGTGACCAGCCAGAGCCAGCCCGCCTCCTCACTCTCCCTGCTGCCCCTCCTGTGGTTGGGGGGGGAAGAGAGTAAGGGGGTGGCAGGAATTTCTTGCTGTCGCCTGTCCCTTTGCTGTTGTACCTGCTCTGTTACCGTACCTGCTGTTGCTGTTGCTGGTATACCCCTGCAGGTTGTGTTCTGCACAAACTCCTGCTGCAGGCAGTTATGGGGGAGTGTTAGAATTTATATGTAACTGCCTGTAGCTGTAGTTTAGTGTAGTTATTATAAACTGTTGGTGGTGCACCTTCTTTGCATGCTCTGTTTACTATATGTACCCTAGTGCTATAGTGAACACCACCTTTTCCCATTCTCGACTCTCACCTTGGCACAACCTCCTCGACTTCCCCTAGGCCTAGGCTACTAAGCCTAGGCCCTACCTAAAACCTAAGCTTACTCTTACTTAGTAACTCAACACCAGATCCCCACACTTGGTATCATAGCGGGTTTTCATACGAGGTCTTTAACCGCTGAGAAACGGCCTTTGAAAACAGCGAGGGCGACGACGAAAGCGCCGATATGGGTATGTAAAAACCCATTCCGCGCAATTTTTTGAAGCCCCCCTCGATCCGGTTTTCGAACACCTCTTATGATTATTGGCAAAAAGTTAGAATTTCGACCTTGGAATTTGGAGCGTCGGATCGAGTTTCTCCTCTACGGCCGAGGCCGGACGCGAATTTCGACTAAGGGAGAATTTCGCGACGTACAAAATTCGAGCTCGTCGATTCTACAGTCAATTCAACTCGCAGTAAGTCGACCAGCACCTAGAATTCATTTTGTTTCGTCGCAGATCTTCCTGTAAATCCCCAATTGGAGTGAAATAGAGATAATTTTGTACTGAAAATCGCAGAGTTACGTGCCGAGCATGAGCAGGTACGTGCGGAGCTCCCATGACTCGAAAAACTCCTTGCGCACCAATCGGTAGCCGCATCAGCAGCGAACGCAACGGCAGATGCAGCAGCGATAACAGTAGCAACGGCGACGACACCAACAATTTTAGCTGCGACAACGGCAGCAGCTAGAGTTAATCCGGAAGCAACGAATCCGAGACAACCAGACGTGTTCGATCCTATAGTGACAGGGAGCTACGTTCGTCGATTCGTAGCAGTGTCAGAAACTAGGAACGTAGGATGACTAGAAACACAGCAGTACAGGGTTTGTATATGAAAAACTAATTAAGCTGTACCCCATAAGGAGTGCCCCACTATAGCCTACTGTCAAAACTATGCTGTACGCTGTAGTGGGGCACTCCTTGTGGGGTACAACCCAATTAGTTTTTCACATACAAACTCTGTATTACTCTATTTCTAGTCATCATTCGTTCCTAAATTCTGACATGGTTTCAGAGCAAATTCCCTAGTGGGAACGTTTTTTTTAGGGCCCACCACGAAGATATTATTTTTCCTGCCCTGCCCGAAGCGCGCTTCGCGCCTGCCTCACCAGCGCCGTCGCGCGCCCTGTTCTACTACCGCCCGTAGCGGCCCTGCCCTCCTGGCCCGTAGCGGCCCTGCCCTAACGGCCCATCGCGGCCCTGCCCTTTCGCGGCCTGTCGCGGCCCTGACCTAGCCGCTCGCTGCGGCCCTGCCCTGTTGCCGCCCTTCGCGGCCTGCCCTAGCCGCCCATCGCGGCCTCACCTCGCCACCCGTTGCGGCCCTGCCTTGCCGCCGCTCATTGCGGCCCTACCCTGCTGCCACCCCGTTGCGGCCATGCGCCGCCTCGTCGCGGCCCTGCCATGCAGCCGCCCATTCGCAGCCCTACCCTGCTGCCGCCCCGCCGCGGTCCTAGTTTCAGACACCTACAGCATAGTTCTAACACACCCCCATAGGCAAAGTGGGGGACAAGCAAGAGAACTAAGCAAGGTCAAGCCCGGGGTGGATCACAACGTCACCACACATTCTGAGCACAAGCAAATGGCCACAAGGCCAGTCAACATGTACATTTACATATATAAAGGAGAACAAGCAGGACAGTGATCACAACCTAGCAAGTGTAAGCATGTAGGTATAAATATATAGATCACAGTACAAGCAAAGTCAAGAAGTGAGCAAGTGAGGCCAAGTAGGCACAAAGCCTAGAACAGTATAGAACCGCTGATGATCACAAGGCTGAAGTGCCTTGGTGAAGATATCAGCAGTGTTGGCCTGAGAGGCCACATAAACAAGACGAAGTTGACCACGCAGCTGCAACTTTCGAGCAAGGAAGTAGCGAAGAGCAATGTGCTTTGTTCTGTGCTCCAATCTCTGCTCGCGACACAAGGCAAGCATTGCCTTGATGTCGACGTACAGAACTGGAGGAGAACGAGGCGCCTCTCCCAGGTCGGTCAGCAGATAGGTAAGCCAGCGTAGCTCTTGTGCAGCCATGGCCCCTGCGTAGATCTCAGTCTCATAGCTGGAGCTGAGAACAAAAGACGAGCGGGTAGACCGCCACGAAGCAGAACCGGAGGCAAGGCTGAAGGTGTAACCCTGCGACGACCGTTGCGTAGCCAAGTCGCAAACCCAAGAAGCGTCTACGTGACCAGTGAGGACAACTGGACCCCCTCCTCCAAGCACAAGCCCCATGCCCGACGTACTGCACAAGT